GGAGGGACCGGCGGCGGCGGCTCCGCCCGTGCCGGGCCCCGCGGCTGCCCGCGGGCGGGCGGGGATGTTGATGTGGTGCTGCTGTACCTGCGTCTGCTGCGAGAGGGACCTGTGCGAGCCCGCCAAGGTGAGGGGCTGCCCCTGTCCCTGGCACGGCCGCCCCCTGCCCCGCCACCGGCCCCGGAGATGCCGCGTCTTCCCCGGGCCCCGCTGCCGACCCCCGGGCTTGTCCGTTCTGTAGCTTTTCCTGGCTCCGGGAGCTGGGGAGCGCCAGGAGGGCTCCTGTCTGAGTGAGTGTTGCATCTGTAAACGAGAGAGATGCGGTGCTGCTGTCGGGGGCTTCTGTTTGGGCTGGCGGGGGGGGCTGATGTGATATAGGGAGCAACGAACGAAGGGGGTGGTAGATGCAGCTCCACGTCAGAGACGTTTGGGTTTGTATCTATCTAAATGTGACCGCTTGTGTTGCTGCTTTAGCTGTGCAAAATGTATTTTCAGGGAGTAGTAAACAAACTGCAGAATCATTTTACCTCCAGGTGAAAGAAGAGTGAGAGCGTACCGCTTCCCTTGGAGCCGGTGACCTTCAGAAATGAATAAGTGCTTTTCCTTGGTTTCCTTTGGCTGTGTAGTTCGGCATCGCCCTTTCATGGGTCGGAGTTAACAGTAAGGCATATTCCCCACCCCTTCCCCCCAACCTTAATATCAAAGAGAGACAGTAAGGGCTTTGGCACTCTGATCTCCAGTGCAAAATAGAAGATACTTCTCATTGAGCTGTTGCAGTGAGCTCTCCAGTGCATTGTAGCTCCAGTGTTTGGGGAAAAGAGAAATACAGGATCCAGACCTTTTTTTGCTGTTTGCCTTTGCATAAATGAACATTTGCCTGGGATTTGTTATCATCTGCACAAGACAAGGCTGAGAAATTGCTTGTTATTACTGCTGTGTTTGGAGTATGTATGTCTAATCACGTTTATTTAAGAGACTCATTATTTTCCTTCAGGAAGATCTGGGTGTCCTGTACTGGGACATGTGCTCTTTCTCACTGCACCCATCAGTCTCTAACAGCGATGGCACACAGGTGGCTGTTGGGAACAGCTCTCTGAGAGATGTGGGTTGAAGTGGCACAGAGTGCTGAAGTAGAGGGCAGTGAGGAGGGAGGGGGTTATTTATATCCCACATCTGAGGTCGATAGATCTGCATACTTTGCATCTTGGCAGGTGTAACATCAGGCCATCACCACTGGCAAGCGGGAGGAGAACCAGCAGGAATGGGATGCCATGTTCTCTGCTCTCCAGATCAGGTCTCTGTTCTGCTGGCAGGGTGGCCGTGCTCTGTACACTGAGCTGTGGAGATGCTGCTGCAGTAAGACCTGTCTCTAGATGGAGTTCTAGAGGAGCCTTCTCCATTTTTACAAGAATACTGACAGCAGCATAGTGATTTCAGTATCTGGTTAATCCTGTGTTTGCTGTGGATTTCTAGAGGAGTGTCCCTTGCCTTCTTCTGCTGTGTGTTCATCACCCCAGGGCGCACCGTCCTCTGATGTCTTGTGGCTGAGTGGTTTCTGAAGGCACGTGCCATGTGTGCCTTCACCGGGACCCTGCTCCCCCTGCTCCCTCACGAGCTCGGAGCCACCTTGGGCTGTCTCCTGGGTTTAATAGATGCCAGTCTGGCAGCACGTGGAGGTAAACAAGCCACGTTTGAAGAGGAAAGGCATCTCTGAAGCCAGCTCTATTGCCTGGCTCTCTGGCAAGTGCAGTATTAGCTGATGTGCCGTGTGTGTGTTATATTAGGAAGACTTTAAATCAGGGAACAATAAGTTAAGAAATGCTACACAGGAATGACAAAGAAATGCGTTCACAGGAAACATGAATTCAGCTGGTTTTAAATATTTATTGTTTCATATTAACTGTTGATCGGATCAACTCTGAAACTTTGCTTCTGGGATGAATTTTGGTTACAGTCAGTCACACTCTGTGTTGTACCTGCAGGAAATACTACAACTAAAAATAAATAAAAATAAATGAAGTAAGCGTAGAAGTGCAGTAGTTGTGCTTAACCTCTTAGGCTAAATACTTGGAGATGACTTGCATGTTAAGCTTCAACACAGGAAAATCTCCTAAAAAGAGGGGAAGTCCTTGCTCTCGCATGTGGCTGTTTTGTGTGGAGATGTTTGTTCTCCCAGACCCAGTTTGCTCCATTGTTTTGCAAGTCAAATTTAACTTGCAATCTGAAAATTAAACTATATTCCTTACAAATTAATATGTAAGATGCAATAATAATCTATATTTATCAGGTAGCACAAAAAAAACCCCAAGTTGCTCTCTGGGAAGTGTTAACAATCATTTTGTCTCTAAGGTAAAGAGATGTGATTCAGACATACTGGAGAAATCAAAATGAGGATTTTTTTTAAAACAAAAACAAACCCAAAAAGCATGAACACAAAAAGACCCTGTCATTTTACATTGTCACTTTCTGATAAAAGCTTGTATAAACTTGTTTCCGGATCCACCCTCTCCTCCCAGTTCCTATACTTAATTTTTGTTCAGCTTTACCTCATTTCCTATCCTTATTATTCTAACTTCTGGCCTGATTGGCAGTCCTCCCTTGATTAAAAATCTGCAGCTGCTAAAATAAACATCCGTGAACATTATTTTGGCCATATCTTTTGCTGTGTCATCCTTTTTCACCTCAAAAATCAAGTTCCTACAAGCCCTTGGGTATAGTTCAGTTCTTTCCTATTTTTCCATTCAGATTGTTTTGTCCATTCCCTTGGACATTCCTTACCATGATGTGGGTGTTAGTGCCCCGGTTATTCAACCAGCACTGCTGATTTTCTTCTCGACTGCTCTGTGGCTTTGGAAAACAGTGAATCGGGCCACCAAGCTCTTGGCCATGGTGCTGTGGTGACGGAGGCTCTCCCGGGGCCCCTGGTGCGGTGGGTGACAGTGGAGGTGACAGATGCCATGTGTGGTTCTTTCTGATGCAGCAAGTTGGTCCTCACGTGGCAGCAGCATCTTCCAGTGCCCCCCCGCCATGGCTGAAGCTGAGATGCCGGTCTCCTTTGGGGATTTCTGCCGCTGAGAGATATGGGGAAAATGCAGCTGGTTGCTTTGCAGCTAAACTCTGTGTTTGAGACCCTCAAACCAGCACGTGAAGTCACATCTCTGTTTAATACTGAGTGAGGTGACAGGGCGGTGGGAGAGCCCCGCGCAGATGGCTTTACCCGGCGCCGGGCTGCGGGAGAGGGTTGGGATGTGCCCCTATCACAGCGCGGTACATCTTCCCTTCGGCACCGCCACCAGCTCGAACAGCCCCAGGTCCCTTCCCCCCGTGGTGCCCCTGCAAGCCCTGCTGGCACCCAGCATGTGGGGCCTCTTGGTGAACCAGCCCTGGGGCTTACTCACAATAAAAGCATCCCCAGGTCCCATGTGGCTGGGCTGTTCCTCCTGCGGCTGTAGTTTCTGAAGATTGACTCGGGTGGTAAAGTTTTGCAGGACAGTGTGTCATGAGGAGTCACACCGGACCCGTTCTCTGTTTTCCTGCTGTACCTCCTCGGCAGTGACGCCGAGGCCTGTGCTCGGGAGCTCGTGTGTGCACTGGGCGCTGCTGGGGGCAGGCACTGGGTCCAGGGATGTCAGCTGGGTGTCTAGGGGTGGTCCGGGCCAGCAGTGTCTGGATCTTCTGTCTGTGTTCAGTCAAGGTGAATGAACAGAGATTTTCCCCCTCACGTGCACCATTACACAGGATTTGCAGTGATACAGACGTTCAGTTTGAAATAAATAGTGAGCCAAAGAGTTGGTGGTGCCAAATGCGTGGCGTCTTGCAGCAGATGGACGGAAGGGTTACAGCTCCAAAGGTTTATTACAGAGATAGCCACAGATGGTGTGTGTGGATGTGGAATCGCCATTTTTGGAGATACTCAAAAGCCACCTGGACATGGTCCTGGACGGGTGACCTTTGGTGGCCTGGCCTGAGCGGGGGGCTGGACCAGTGACCTTTGGAGGTCCTTGCCAACCTCAACCGGTCTGTGATTCTGTAACATCCTTTAAAAAGCAAAGCCTTAGAAAAAGCGCTCCCAGCTGTAGGTCATAAATTGCTTATTGCATCACCCAGGTGGGTCAGGTGGAGTAATTTGTATTCCTTTTTTTTGTTTACTTTATTTTGCAATATGGTATGTTTTTATCAGGTCCAGCAGGGACACTGCACGCTGTCTGCACATGGGACGGTTGGTTGACATCACCCTGACTCAGATGTTTAAAGGATCTCGTGCTGCAGGTGTCACACAGGGAGGTGACTTCTGGCTGTCGATTGCATTTAATTGAATACGTTGAAGGTACCTCACAGTAATTCGTGGTGTTTAAAGATCTCCCCATTGCAGCTCACCGGGATTCTGTGCATGGCTTTGTACGAAGGTGCATCTAGAGGGTTTAATGTGGATCTGTAATGATACTGAGGCCTATGGCCTATGGCCTCAGTACATTTCTTCCACTGTACAAATACTGAAGTAGAGAGAAATTAGGAAAAAAGGCAGGGTCAAATGAGAAATGACAGTGTAATGACAAGCCACTGAGGATGACAGCCCTGTCCCTGTGTTAGGAGCTGTGTTTTTTCCACAGCCATAGGTTGTCGGGCTCTTGGTTTCATACCTCTTAAAAAGACAGCTCTTTTGAAGTGCAGGACTTGTGGAACTAGTGCTAATTTGGGGATGTCACTAATCCAATGGAAGCTGCAGCAGCATCCCAAAGATTGATTCTGCTTCATGTGACAGATGGTTTGTTGAAGAGATGTTTGTGTACTTCTCTACAGATGCCTTCCCCATTTCTTGAATCTAAAGGGGCTCGATCCTGGACATTGTCAGGATAAAACTTTCTCTAAATCTCCTTGGTGCAGTTTGCCATCTTTGCTTTTGGAAGGAAAAATAATACACAGTATTCCACATTGACAAATATACAAATGAGTCCATGGGAAACGTGAGAATTTACCAACCTCCTTTTTGGGCTGTGTGTTGCCAAAAAAATACATAGAAAAACTTGTACAGGAGGCAAAGCCTGATGGTGTTCAAAGTGCTAGGAATTTGGTCAGATCTTGAGGGGGAGAAAGCAGAAGGTCCTCACCTGATTCCATTCCACCCGTGGCACAACACCGGGGCACTGACCAGCCCTTCTGGGCTGGATCAATAGACTGGAAAATTGTATTGCAGGGGAGATTGACGAATTGAATTGTGATCCCTATTTTTATACAAACATTGACCATTGCAATATTTCAATTACCAGCATCTTTTCAGGACAGATTGCCAGTCATTTTAAATCAATAATATGGCACTAGCAATTCCCAGTGTTCTGAGGGACCTGGTTTGTGCTGAGTCTTCCCTTTCCAAAGCCTCATCAATAGTAAGAAAGTGCTCAAATTATCTCGGTTCTGTTCCAGAATAGCACTTTGTACAGCTGTTTGCCTTTTAATTGGAAAAAAACCCTTCTTGTTATTCCAGAATAATATCCACACAGCTGGTGATTATACAGTAATAATCCCAGCGTGATGTATTCTCCTGTGGCTGTTCTGGGTTGTCTGTCCCAGGCACAGGAGACACCCCGGGTGTGAGGGGACCCCACCGAGGCTGTGCGTGGGCGGGAGCCGTGGCCGCAGGGTGTCAGTTGCGTGGCATTAAATCACAGATAAAGAACATTGGAAATAGAGGGAGGGGGTCACTCCAGTAGCATTTTTTGTTTGTAAAGTGTCCATTCACGAGGTGAACGCGGACGCGTGTTCTGCAGGAGGGGTGTGCGGCGGGGGGGCTGCTCTCCCGGGGGCGGCCGGGCGGACGCCGTGGGCTCGTTTGCCGGAGGTGCGGGGGGGCTCACGCAGCGGCTCCGCGGGCGGCGGAGCTCGGGGCTGGGACTGCGCGGCTTAAAAACAATTACAGCGGGTTTTGGGGCTGTTTGTTGAAATGGCCGTGGGAGCGGTACCTAGCGTCGTTTTCAGACGTTACCTCTCAGGTCGCTGCCGGTCCCTGCCTGGCTCCCGCCGCCCCGGC